TCTAAGTCCCAGAGCACCAACGCAGTGGCCTCCCTATGAACCAGGACCCCGCCCCGGGGTAAAAGTGAAGCTTTTATACTTTTGGTTGCGCACAACACACCAGTGGCATACGATATGCTGAGCCCACCATCCCCTTTCCCCCTTTGTCCATTGGTTCCTTTGAAAGTGGAGGATTGTTTTGACCCCTGATTGGGTGGTCCCAAGCCTCTGGATTTTCAATTTTCGCGCCGGCGCCAGTTCTGATCTGCGTTTGAGGAGGGGGACTGAGACTTAGGCCTATTCTAGGAAGTTCAGCCTGTCATGGGGTTACTCCCGCCCTGTTTTTTTTTTTGATTAACTATATTTGACTAACAACTAAAAGCAAGCACGGTTACAGAAGCAAATGGCATTAGTTAAAATCAAAGAGAACACATTTTTCTAATCTAAAACAGTTTCTGTTCCACACAAAACAAAGTACATTCTTCTGCTATCAATTCCTGCCTTTCATCAAAAACTAAAAAGGCATCGTGGGTGTTAAGAGGCCCTAATGATACTGTTGCGGCCTGAGATACAGCCAGTGAAATAGATTGTGCAGAGAGTCCAACAGCTTAAATAGAATCAGAGGTAACAGGTAAAGATAACTCCTGAGTGAATAGTAGAGAGAGTTGCACCAGTGTTAATTAAAAAATCTGGTTTCCAATCCTCTACTTTAAGCTTTACGGTGGCCTCTGGGGTTTGACTGAGGATTGGCTGACCCTGTCAGTCAATGGGATATTGTCCCACAGGAGGGGAAAAAGAAGCCTTCTGAGGGTGCTGGGTCTTAGGGAGAGTTTCTTCCTTTTTTTTAAAGTATAAGACAGCAGTTTTTCCGATGCCCTGGGTTTTTAGAATATCTGCAAATTTTAAAGGCAAACTAGAAAAGCTTTGTGGCTGACCAAAGCCAGAAGAGGACTTTGAGTCATTCTCAGAAGACTGCCTTTGTTTCTGTAGTGGTTCAAGCTTCAAGGCAAGGATTGTTGATTTCATTTCCATTTTCCTCTGATTTTCTTGTAAGCCATCTTCAAAGAATTGTGTAGCTGCTTCTATTATAACACTTAGAGACTGACCAGCCCAACCAATTATACTATTTTGGATTTTCCTTTTTATATCAGGAAGAAGATTTCCATCCAGAGCAGAGATTAGAAGATTTCTATGCTCTGCAGTTGCAGGATATAATACAATATGACTTTGAAAAACTTGTATCAATTTCTCAACAAATGCCTTGGGGTGCTCTTCCCCTTTCTGGATACGCAATGCAACGTTAGACCAATTTAGGAGGGAAAGCTCGATATTGCTCGTATTAGGCCCTGAATAGCGTGTCCATCTGAGCCATCTCCTCATCATTTGCAGGAGGGCCAGAGAGGGGCTCCGGCCATCTGTTCCCTCTTTGGCAGGGCTTTTCCCCCAGAGGCCATCTGGCCTGTCTAATAACTGCAGTTTAATCATGACAGGGAAATATACCCCTTAGTAGCCAGTCAAGGTCACTATGAGTGAGTTTATGGATGGCCACTAATCTATCCAAATCTTCTCTAAGCTTGGTAGGATCTTCTGAAAGTGGGGGCAAAAGGGCTTTATGATTTAAAAGCTCTGCTGCTGCCCAGGGCACATGAATTCTTTGAACATGGAGTCCAAGAAACATCTGCAGAGGGCATTGCATAGGGAGGTCTGGAGTTGACAAAGTCTGATTACAAAGCCCTGGGCAGTGGGAGACGTAGAAAGGCACCGCAAAGCAAGCCTTGCTGTGGTTCCTCGAGACTGTGTCAGATCTATTATGCTTTCTGGCTGTCAGCTTTTACAGGAATGACCTGTATGCCTGGGGCGTTAAGATCAGGCTGTCGGGCTTTTTGTAAATCATCAAGAGAAAGGGAGGTTAAAGCAGGCAGCTGGATGTCTAAGGGGTTTTCTGAAAAGGATGAAGGAGTCAAGGGATTTTGTTGAGGGGACAGAGGAGGAGGAAGAGGCTGAGGAGATGGGGCTGGTTTTGAGGAGGGGGTGTTTAAACCAGGGACCCAGAGAGCCAATAGATCTTCTGTGGGGCAGGGACAGGGAGTTGGGGATAGAGTGGAGTATAAGTGAGTGGAGCCGAGGATTTATAGTGGAAGCGGATTTTAACTTTTGCTCTAGATCTGTTTTTTGTTCTTTAATTTTATTAAGGGAATTTTTAAGGCTGGCTGTAATACTTTTCTTAGTTCTTAGTTCTATCTAATCTTCCCATAAATATCAATAGGCCAATTGTTTAGAATGGGAGCTCTCTAAACTTTTTTTCAAATATAGAAGTCTTTTAATTGAAAAGATCCATCTTCTGGTATTGACAGTTAGGATCTTCATTGCTATATATATTTCAATAGCAACCTAATCCAATAAACCTTTTTATGGAAAGACCAGGGGATAATTTTCCAGGCTTGAATAAATCTTTACCAGGGACGCAAGGTGCATTCCTGGGATGGGTGCAGAAAATGCAGTCCTCATGATCCAAAAATTCACTCTCAGAAATAGACTAAGAAAGTAGAGATTTTTGTTGCCACAGACAGTTAGTACAGCGTTTGTAGAAACATTGTCTCCAGTCTCTCACAGAATGTGAGACACCTTCAGTCACAGACCTGCTCATCTGAGACATCAATCAGTCAGTCCTGGGGTGGGAGTTTCCCAGCACAAATCCAGGCAACAAGGTTAAGACAGGGAAAGCCCTTTAGGGACTGGTCTCTTACGACAAAACTCTCTGAGAGCTTGACACGTATGGACAAAGAGAGTGCTGCTTAATATCTTAGGTGTCTCAAGTCCCCAGTCATTTCAGACTAACTGCCAGATAAAAAGCCGACACTTTGTGCCCTTTGGATGGCAGAGACCAGGGAGGGTGCCCGCTTTGGTCACAAAGCCAAGCTCTCGGGACATAAAGCAAGATGAGAGGGGATCCTCCTCTATTTATTTTTTGTTTCAGGGCTCCACACTTTGTCTAGGTAGACACTGGAACTGATGAGAACCCTAAACTCGCCAGTCTGTGGAGGCGGTTAGAACAGCAGGCTTACAAGGGTTTATGCCTTGTTCTTTACTCTGCGGTTCCTGTCCTTGTGACAAATGACACAAACAGACAAAGGAAGACAAAGACTCTCTTTGAGATCAAAAGGATCAAATAGAAATCTAAAGTACTCACAAAACACCTGAAGTTTCTTTTTACCCAAGGAACTAGTTCACAAATTTTTTCCCTTGTCATACTCAATTTAGAGAGGAGAGGGTCTTACTGCTCTTGCCCCCACAGCAGAGATCCAGGAATCTGGTGGTGAGAAATCTTACCTCTGCTGCCTTTGGTCAGAGGTCCAGGATCTCAGTTGCCGCAGTTCCGAGCGAGCAGCATTCCATCCGGTGAAGATGGCCCCATGCTGGCTGCCAGTTTCTGTAGGGGAGCCAGAGGTCACCTCTGACACCCATTTTAGCTCTTAGTGGGCTCTTCAGCTGGATCTGGAAACCAGATGGACACCAGGCAGACTAACAAGAGAAAGGCATACATGTTTATTAGTTTTACGTGTACATGTACTTTGCGAAAAGATCTTTGCAAAAAGTCAAGTCTGAAGAAGTGGCCAAAGCAAGATGCTTTTGTACTTTTTAGACAAAGAGCATAAAAAATTTAAGAAGAAATGACAGGACAAAGGAAATCTGGCTCGGGGCAATAAATTTTCTAGGAGAGTCATGGGAGTCACTAGGAGATATATGGGGGTAGGTGTGAAACAGATGAAAGATAAGAGTTACTTCCTTAAGTATGTTTATTCAGGTCTGTTGCAGCCTCCAATTCAGGAGTCTCTGGTGATAAGGGTTACTTTCTCTCCCTGGTGTGAAGAGAGTACTCCTCCCAGAGGAATCTTTATTGCTTGCTGCATGCTCACCTTTTCTGAACCTACAATTTCTCCAATATTTTTAACTTAAAATAATCAATATGACAATCTGGCTTATTTGAGGATGGCATGTCCTTCATTCCTCCACACATATATTTGCATATAATTTACATATATAATTTACATACATATTTACATATATATTTACTATATCTTGGGCTTCCACTTGAGAATTTGTAGTTTTAAGGTTAAGTGAGAAACAGGTTATTTTTTAGGGGGAAATGAGAGCTGGACTAGAGGACGCTGAGATGTTGAGTGTTTTGAAGGCTGAGAATGATCGAACTAGATGAATAAATTCATAGAGAAGTACGAATTGTTTTCTTGAGGTCCACCAAGCTGGTCAGGTACATTCATGGTACTAGGGTTCAGCTCCATGAACACCCCTGTTTTATTTTCCTTGCCTTGCTATGAAGCTCCTCTCAGTTTCCACTGATTCCATTCTTTGCCTTGTTCGGTAAGTCCCACCAGACTTGCCTCCTTTTTGTTTCACACAATCTAAATCCCTTTCTTATTTGTGACCATTCCCTTAACTTGAGATGCTTTTCCTTCAGCTCTTCAGAGAGCTGACCCTCATTGTGTGCTATGTCTAAGGAGAAAGCAGCGGCCTGGGAGCCTGGAGTGTGAGTCACAGTTCTGCCTCCAGTTTTCTGACTGGGCCAGGCACTTTCCTACTTCTCTGGAATGAGCGCTCTGGCCTCATTTTCTTCATCGGTAAAACAAGATGAGATTCTATATCAGTGGTTCTTTCTCAACTGGGGTTTATATTAAACAGTCCCCCCCACTAACTCGCCTTACATTTAACAATGTAAGTGGATACACTTCTGTCAAAACTGTGTGTGTGTGTGTGTGTGTGTGTGTGTGTGTGTGTGTGAAACTCATCCAGTGGGCAGAGACCAGGGATGCTGCTATATATATTTACAATGCACAGGACAGACCACCACAAAAGAGTTATGCGATCTAAAATGTCAATAATGTAGGAGTTAAAAAACCTTGATCTAGATCTATGGCCCGTTTCTATTTTATGGTTTACTTACTTCTCATTATATTATTTAGGGATTATTAAATAAACTATGTTCTTTAAATATTGTTTTTCAGTAATATTTGGTGAAGATGTTGCCTTTGGTGGAGTCTTTAGATGCACTGTTGGTTTGCGAGACAAATATGGTAAGTGAATATCTGTATGGACAATATTCCTACAGAACTTTTACTTAAAGATCCTGAAAATACAAAATATGCCTGTTACATTGTTTGCCCATTCCTTTCCACTTTCATAGCTCCCTGCAGAATCCTTTGGCTTAAATTTTTCCCAATGTGTTATAACTGTAGCATTCTTCTGATCTAGTTCATATTACACATATTATAGATTCCAGAATAATCTTCATTAAATGTATTTGTTTATCCTGTCATTCCTCTGTCCAAGAACCTTTGCTGTCTTATTGCTGCCTGCCTTAGCCAGTTTCAATTCCATTGCCTCCGGTTCAAGATTCTGCTTGTTGGTCTCTGTTAATGGCTTTCATCTTGTGGGGGTGGGGGAGAGAGAGAGAGATTTATTTTTTAAGGAATTGGCTTATGCAATAGTGGGGGCTGGTAAGTCCATAGGGCAAACTGGCTGGCTGTCTGGCTGGGTGGAAACTCAGGCAGGGTTTCTATGTTTTAGTCTTGAGGCTGAATTCCTTTTTGCTTGGAAAGCTCAATCTTTTCTCTTAAGGCCTTAAATTGATTGGATGAGGCCCACTCACATTGTAAAAGGTAGTGTGCTTTACTCAAGATTTACTGATTTAAATGTTAATCACATCTAAAAAATGCCTTCACGACAACATCTAGACTTGTGTTTGGCTAAATAACTGGGGACCATAGTCTGGCCAAGTAGACATGTAATGAACCATTGTGTTACACTTCCTATCTGTTTTATCCCAGCTGATCTGTCTTTTGCGTGGCCTGCCTAGCATTTCTGCCTGTTGGTTTTACTAATTTTATTTGACTCAATTAGACTTGGAACCATCGGAATGTGTTTGGCTAATCTTTGAATTCTTACTACTTTGACTTACTGTGTAAGGAATGTATTTTGACCCCTTACTGATAAGGATACCTTTGTGTGCTTTTGACTTTTATTTCTTCTCTCAGTCTTAATCTAACTTAGAAGTGGGCAGAGCAGTTATGTCAGGGTTAGGAGGAGTTGGCATCTCCCTTTCTTCTTACCTTTGCCATTGCCCTATAATGCTTATATGTTTGTACAGGGTGAGGAGGGTCTTGAAGATTTTTTTTTAATTGTCTCTTTTCCTGTTCTACTATCTCAGAGGTTATTAATATATTTTACTTGAATCCAAGAAACCATAGCATGTTCCTTCTCACTTACTAGGAACTTCCAGCTCATTCTTTTCTCTTCTATTTATAGCAGATTGAGTTTCTTGGTCTAGTCACTGTGCTTTCTCCTAGCTATCTATTTCTAATATGTGCTGAGAGTTTGAGATAATTGGGCAAAATATTATCTTTATTCTCTTTCAGACGCCTACAAACTTTTTGATCTTTAAAAAAAAGTTAAAAATCTTTATACGTTTGATTTTGAAAGTAATGTACATACACCGTAGAAAATTTGGAAACGACAGAAAAGCATAAAGAAAAGAAAACTTGCTCATATTTCTAGAGATTGCCACTGTACAAACCTCAGTATATATACTTCTAGAGTGTATTTGCATATGTTTGTATATATTAACTAATATTTCAAACATAGAGTTATATTTTGTAACTTAGTCTTTTCTATATGTGGTGCAGCTATGCTGCTGAGCAGTTCGTAGCCTTCACTGGTCTGTCTTGCCTGACTCAGCGTGGTAGCATGCCGTGTGCTCATTTAAATTGGCGAGTCCTCTTTGACTATCTGCCCAGGTTCTCATCCATGGCATTACTGTACCCGTTCTGTCTGGGGCATTTTATTCATGCCACTTGCTGTTCACACACTAGTGACTTCTGAATTTCTGTCTCTAGTTCAGACCTCTGTCCTGAGCTCCAGGTTGGGACATTCAGTATTCTACTGCACATCTTCACCTCGATGTTCCACAGTCACTTCAAACTCAGAATTTCCAAAGTTAAATTCATTATAGCTACCCAGCAAATCCATGACTTCTGCTGCATTTCCTATTTTGTGAATATATCACCATCTATTCATTTACCTAAGCCAGAAACCTGGGGAGATCCTAGTGTCTTCCTTTTTCATCATTCTCCACATTCAGCCAAGTCCTACAATTTTATCTTCACAGTTTATTTATAATCTGGCCCTTCCTTTCCATTCTTACTGCCCTGGTACTTCAGATATTTAATTTTCTCTGCCTGGAGAGTTTCATTGCTTTTCTTAGTAATCACCCTTCCTTTGGTCTCATTCTCCCTCCAGTCTATTCTCTATCTTGTTGCCAGTAGGATCATTCTAAAATGCACATTTTTTAGAAGAATATATAGAAGATTTTGAGATCTACTTAAGTAGCTACCTGACCTCATCCACTTTATTTTTTTGCTAATGTTGAATCACTGAGTGTTTCCTCTAAGCCCTCTGTTGTTTTCCACCTCTCTTCCTTTGCACTATCTAGATCTCTTGCTATCTAGATCTCTCTTCTTCATCTGACTACCAGGCAGACTACAATTTCTCCGTCAAAAGGCTCCTCTGTGAAACTCTTCTTTACTCTCCAAGCAGACTCAGGCACTCCTTTATCACTGTTCAGACTACATCTTTCAAATTTTGCAAGCTATATTGTAATTGTCTCCCCACTATGTCTCCACGCCAGACACCTCAGAGGCAACAGGTCTTTAAGCTATCTGTGCATCTCTAGCACCTAATGTTGTGTCAGGCAGTATTTATTAATATTAAGTGAATGTTGTTGAGTGAATTTACCCTTTGCTCTCACTAAGACAGTGGTCTACTGTCTCAGAAAGCAGATTTCCTTATCTCCCTTTAACTATTTGGGTTGGTCTGATTTTTTTTCTTAACAAATAGGTTAAAACAGGGGGAAACTAACTCTTACTTGTGAAAGTCCAGAACTCTTAGAGGACATCTGTAGATTTCTGTCTACATGGCAGGTGTCTGAGCTAATCAATGGCTAATTAACTCTTTTGGATTTATTATCAGCAGCTGCTGTGAATTTTTATGACAGCTTTAGGATTATGAATTCAAACTTTTAATAATTCCAGGTTGATGCTGATCAAGATGAACAGTTAAATCACCACTACTCTCCAAAGAGAGTGAGTTATCTGTTTTCAGAATTGAAGAATAAAGGAAATAGTGAAGAAAAATATATATTAAAATAAATTTTTCTTGCATAGTTAAAAAATCACATACTTAAAAAAAATTCTCTGCTGTTTTGAGTATAGGTGAGAAATTTTACTATACAGAAACATGTCTGCTTTAGCATTCTTTTCTTAAGTTAAGAGAATTTGTATTGAAAATAACTAAAAGGTTATATTGATGTAGCTCAATACAACAACAAAGTCATTACATTGCATTAAATGACTTCGTAAAGAAAACTAGTGAGGAATCAGTCAGCTTTGTGGGGGGAACTGAGCGTTGAGTTGGAAGAGAGCACAGTCAGTAGGTGGCAGCCTACACTTTGAAATGAGACCATCCCTATTTGCATTGTACCAGTATTCCGGAACTGCTGCAAAGCATTTTATACTCCATCAGAAGACAGAATTTGAAGGGTTGTGGTGCGGGTTACTGACATGATATTATAAAGCTGAATATTGCTTAATATAAAAAAGAAATAATTGCATAATTAGAGCCAATGCTATAAAAAAAAAGGGAGGGAGACATAGAGCTATTTTTTTATTGCCAATGATCTAGATGAGAGTGAGTTTAGCAGCACTAAACTGATTCTCTCTTTCTTCCCTGTCTTTTGATAGGACAAAATAATATGAGTGCTTCAAAAATGAAAATAAATAGAATAGTATATCCCCATCAGCACATTTGTACCAAATGACAGCTTTAACCTCTTTAGGCAACGAGATCAGGAGCAACAATTGGAACTAGGGGAATTCTAGGGAAGCGAGGATAGGAGAGGGCAGTTAAAGGTGGTCAATTGTAGGGTATGTGTTATTTGATGCTGAATGCACACGTGCTTTCATTTATGTAAGTAACGAGACAGATTCTGTGTCATATGCAAAATCTGTCCTCATTATTGTCATTCACTCTGAGAGAGACAGTGTGTGTGTTTTATTCAAATAAGACTTTGGTGTGTCAGGTTCAAGGTGTTTTTATTTACACTGTTCTGTACTGATATGGACATTGTTTGGCTGTGGTTCTTAGACTATATTTGGCCCACTTATTGGATGAAAATTAGGTGAGAAAAGCCACAGCAGAGGACTTGCTGAATTAGTCAACAGGCCTAACCATCTGTCTTTTCATGGGACTTGATGTTTTTCCATTACTGTATTCATTCCTTTGCACCACAAGTGTGGCCTGTCATAACCGCTTGGGAAAACTAATATAACCACTTACTTGTTTTCTTATGTAAACATCACAGAAATTGTATAACCAGATACTTTAGTACACTGAAGTCAGGAAGGAAAACTAGGACAGGCATTGGAGAAGGCAAGTTTCATTTATAATATACCAATATTTGGGAGTTGACTTTGGGTCTCAGTGTCCTCATTTTGAATCGAAGGGAAATGACCAGATGGTCCTCACTGATCTTTCCAGCACACACTCAGGTTATCCTTGTGCTTTTATTTCTTTTTAAAAAGGAGGAACACAATTTTTTTATGCTTTGATTTCCTTTTACGTTTAGAAGTTTTTTGAATATGACAATTGTTGTATCATCTTGGAACCATGGCACTTAATTTGACTTTTTCTTAAGAAGTCCCCTTTCCACCTTTCCAGCATAATGAATTTTATTTATTTATTTACTTATTTTTTAGGCAAGCACGAAAATGAGGTTTATTGAGCAGAGAAAGATAGGATTGTAGGGTAAGAGCAACGTATGCGTAATGAATTTTAAAATTGAGGACTGTAAGCAAAATCTTTTGAGTGGTCTCTTACACTTTTTCATGGATTATGACATTAACATCTTCAACAGAAAAAGTGACCTTCCAATATATGTTCCTGTTGCAAAGCAAGGGCTACTTGGGTGATAATCATGCTGTTGGATTTAGTGTCAGGGTTCCACTGAAGAGTGGCAGTCTGT